GTTCCTTTTCCAAAACGAGGCCATGCCGGGCGCGGTGGCTCAAGCCTGTAATCCCAGCACTTCGGGAGGCCGAGGTGAGAGGACTGCCTGAGCCCAGGGGTTCGAGACCCGCCCGGGCAACTTGGCCAGACCTCGCCTCTACAATCAGTCAAAAATGAGCCGGGCGTGGCAGCGCATGCCTGCAGTTCCAGCTACTTGGAAGGCTGAGGCGGAAGGATGGGCTGAGCCCAGCAGGTCGACGCTGGGGTGGCCGTGAGCGTGCCGCGGCACTCCAGTCTGGGTGACAGAGTGAGACTCCGACTCAAAAGACAAAACAAAACAAGGCCAGCCTGGAGAGCTCAGCTGCAAAGCGACCCCCCGCACGGTCTAGTCAGGGCTCCAGCGTCACCAGGAAAGCCGGGGATGCTCAGTGCCGCTGCTCTCCGCGTGGGCAGAGCGCCCTCTGGCGATAAGCAGTGGGTGAAATCGCGTGTCCTCTAGTGGAAACGGTAGGGTCTTCGGCCCCAGAAACCTGTGGAATGTCCCAGATCCCCAACTACCAGGAGTCTGCAAGAACGAGAGGGACCTAGGCCACGTGCCACGTGCTTTCTGTGCTAATCTGCTCTTCGTGTGTTGGAGAAAGTCTAGATGCAGCAGCAGGTGTCTGCCCTGTTGCAGGACTTCCTGAAAAGTTCCCTGTGACCTGTGCCCCTGGTCAGGACCGGGTCACCCAGGCTCTGTTCTCCTACCCCATGTGGTCATTAGAGGCCACTCCCATCGGCCAGTTCTTTCCTTTACCGGAGACTACTGGGAAGAGTGAGGCACATCTTGCTACTGTGTGATGGGCACCACTGGGAACGTGTGGTTTCAATTTCTTCATTTCAATATTTATGATTTTGCTTGATGAAATTCCTGTAGATGTCACCTATCCCCTGATCATCACCCTCTCATGTTTCCTCAGTGGTTAACCTCAGAGCCCATAAATCCTCCTCCCTTCCCCTCACTCTCAGTAAGAGCCTCACTTCCTACTTCGTGGAGAAAAGGGGAATCATTAACGAGCAATTTCTTCAACTTTCCATCTTCAAACCTACAAACTTGGTCCCCGCTACCATCAAGCCTCTCCCTGTCTGGACTCCAGCCTTATGGGTTGGGAGAGAGTACTGGCCTCCTGTGTCTGCATTAATGATCCAGGTCTACCTTCAATGCCTTAAATGACATTACCTCCCACCCCACCCCCCCACCCCCGCCCATGCCAAAGTCTCTTAGCCACCCACCTGGGGTTTCCATTCTTCACATCGTCACAAGACCTCCAGGGTTTCCACCCTCCAATTTCTCCCAGTGTACCAGCTCTTTCTTTCCTATCCAGGCAGGACCCCATGGGTTATAATCTGAGCTACCCTCTCAGCAGTAACCCAGATTCTCTAGTATTCCTGGCTTTCTGCCCAGCAAAACTCCGACTTGGATCCACTCTGGGCTCTGCCTGTGCAGTGTCCTCTCCTCCATGCTGCCTGTCCCTAGCCTGACTGACTGCTGCTGACAGGTAGCTCATTCCAGAGTAGAATGGTCCTACCTCAAGTTCAGCATCAGCCGGGCTTTTCACTTCAGCTCTTTCCTTGTCCTTGGTCAGCTCCAGCTTCTATCCTGCTCAACAATGATTCTAGAATTTTATCTCTTTCCTCAAATTTCCTCTTTTCCCTGCCACGCCTCTGAGAAAATGGAGTCCATCAGGAGTGACCTACAGCTTCCCATGCCTAAAAAGTCATCTTCTGTTACAAACTGTGCAGTGTGGATTGCCTGAGCCCATGGGTTCGAGACCAGCCTGGGCAACGTGGCAAGACCTCGTCTCTACAATAAATAAAATATTAGCCAGCCATGATAGTGCATGTGCCTGTAGTTCTGGCTACTAGGAAGGCTGAGGCAGAAGGATCGCTGAAGCCCAGCAGGTTGATGCTGGGATGGCCAGCCTGGGGCTACAGAGTGAGATTCCGACTTAAAAAAAAAAAGAACTAGCCGGGCTCGGTGGCTCAGCCTGTAATCCCGTGCCTTTGGGAGGCTGAGGTGA